CCTAAATATCATTCCCTAACATTTGTCTTTTTCGTCATTCCCTCGCTTTCTTTATGTCTTTTCGGTGTCCATGACAGCATACATATCTTTTGTTAGGGGTGTTCGATCCAAGTCCCTGTCATATCGAATGTTTGATACTAATTAGAAGTATTAAACATAGGCTAATTATAAAATAATTGCATAAATGAAGGCTAATTCGCGAGACAAATCTATTAAGCCTAATTAATCCATGATTAGCACATATTTACTGTTGCATCACATGGGCAAATCATGGACTAATAATTAGGCTTCATAGATTTGTCTCACGAATTAGCCTTCATTTATGCAATTGGTTTTGTAAAGCCACTATGTTTAATACTCATAATTAGTATCCAAACATCCGATCCCTGGATCCAAACGGGGCCTTAGTGTCCACATTAGCAGCTGAACAGTTATTTTGTCATTGGTTTTGGACCTTGACTAAACCATTTAGAAATTTTAGGATATGAAACTATAAATTAAAATATTAGGGACCTAAATGATACAGCATAACAAATTTAGAGACTCTAGATGCATTTTGATTTATTTTTTTTTAGCAAAATCATGTTATTTTTTTAAAACAAATAGGAGGAGCTCTGTCTTTTAATTAAAAAGAAACAAAAGTTTATGTACAAGAAAGGTAGCCAATCCACACGACGTCCACAAAAAAGACACCTGGACAACCAACCCACCCACGCGCCGTGGCAAAACACAAAACTACCGAGAGTCATTGTTGCCGAGCATGGTTGCAAAAGCAGCAAGCAGCTCTGACTTCCTACGACACAGCCTAGACGAATTCATAGATCTGGTTATGAAGAATTGTAGCATACTTTTACAAGATAAAAACAAATATAGGTAGAGATAAAAAATTGAATGGTGTACCATGGGGAATTATGAGATCCGCATGTCAGAAGGGTTGTTGTCTATAATGGCGACACATTTCAGTTCTCAGGTATAATCTAACTTCATGTGCATGCTTGACTCTTCTTGTTGTTCTTCAGTGATTGTTGAAATTTGGAATTTTTTATTGTCTTTTGATCAAATTCTGCATGACAGACTAGATGAGTTTGGTCAGAGTCCTACATTTATGTTAGGCAAAACATGATCAATTTGTCATTTGCATTTCCTTTGTATGAGGCAAAGCACCCAGCTGAAAAATGGATTCCGAAAATGAATGTTGAATCCGTGTCTTAATTCATTGTGTCATACTCTGGAAATTGGATAATCTCAGACTATATAAACAAATTATGCATGGTCATTTCTGTTCTCTCGAAAGTAGATTTAGTGTTAGGTGTTTTATTATACTGATGATGATTGTTTTTTCCTTGTCTTTTTCCTCACCATGTTCTTGATTTTGTGCACCTATAAATGGCTTGGATCAATTTGTTTGTTTGATGCTATGACAAGTTACTACATTGCGGTTCTTAATTACTACATGGTGGTTCTTAATTACTACATGGCATTCTTTTCAGTTGTTTCAGGCCACATGTGCAACGCATACATACACAGTTCATTAGTACAGAGTCATTCTAAAAAAAATATGGCGCTGCCCAATATTTCTGTGAAGCAGTTTACAAAGGTAGATTCATATGTGAGAAAGTCACTGTAAGCATCTGATATTTGCTTGACCAAAGAGCCAAGTGAAGTGTGAGCATTCCTGCAGGAACAGCCTCAGTGCCGGTGGACCATAATGGTAGAACGATGTGCCCGTCGTTTGCAAAGTCTGAAGCTTTGTGAATTTCTTCGTTGGGCTTTTGTTGTTGTAAATATATGTTGTAGTTTTAGAGGTGTGAGTATGTTGGAGTTGGTGTGTGCGTGTTTAGGCATCTGTTAAGGCACTATAGTTTGTACTTAGAACTTCTATTATTTTTGGTTTGGATTATGGTGGAAAGGAAAATAAGAATATGGGAAATTCTGATGACGTGGGGTTGCATCTCTTGATGGTTACTTGGCAGTTAGTGTAGTTCATTTGATGTTATAAGGTTTCTTCTGTAAAATAATTCAAATGGAATTTATGCATCCAGTACCTTTAGAATTGGCTCAGTCAAGGCGAAATATATTGGAGTACTTCGACTATGTATTTAATGGTATCTTGACACAGTTGAAATGTTGTGTTGGTGCATATTAAAGAAATCAGCTTGTTTGAATACTAATATACTCCACTACGGGAAACAGGGGCTTTGCCGAGTGTTTCCTACTTTGCCGAGTGCCAAATATTGGGCACTCGGCAAAGGTAGACTTTGCCGAGTGCCGCACTCGGCAAAGACCAACACTCGGCATATCCATCTTTGCCGAGTGTCAGGCACTCGGCAAAGCCTCCCTTTGCCGAGTGTCGGACTCTCGGCAAAGGCTAACCGAGGTGACGGCGGCCACTCACCGCTAGGCTTTGCCGAGTGGTCGCCGTCAGACACTCGACAACGAATTTTTTAAATTTTTTTTTAATTTTTTGTTTATTTTCTTTGCCGAGTGCCCTGGCTCTGGCACTTGGCAAAGGTTTTTATTTTTTTTGTTTATTTTCTTTGCCGAGTGCCCTGTCTCTAGCACTCGGCAAAGGTTTTTTTATTTTTTTGTTTATTTTCTTTGCCGAGTGCCCTGTCTTTGGCACTCGGCAAATACCCCCTTTGCCGAGTGCCAGGTCTGGTACTCGGCAAAGATTTTTTTTTTGCTCCTAGATTTTTTCTTTAGGGTTTATACCGTGCTTTAAAGTACATGTTAAAATTTGGTTGATTTTTTTGACTTTTTACTATATTTTTAGAATTATTTTTGTTTTGTTGATTTATTTTGCAAAAAGCAAGTTTGAACTGCAAGTGCATCGAATAATGAAATCTAATCATTCAAAAAATGATTGTCACGCTAATGAGTGTGTTTTGAGGTCATATCCAGGAACTTGCGGGATATTTTTCACATCTTGTTAACGAAACATGAGGACAAAGTTGCGGCCAAAATGTTTTTAAATTGTATAAAATTCAAACGAATTCAGAAAATCACGAAACTTGTGGATGCATCGTTATATAGCATGTGGAGCCTATGGTAAAAATTTAAAAAAGTTTCGTGCACGTTGTCACGTATCTGCGCCCAGCCACCCGTGCCCTCCCTCTCGCATTCTCACATCTACCTCCTCCGTAACCCTCTGCCGGCTCCACGCTTCGCTGCATTCCCCGCCCCCCTCGATCCTCTCGCGGTGCTGTGCTCCCTATATCGGTTTGATGAGGCTAGGGCTCGAGATCGCACCGTGAGATTGGATCCAGTGCCCCCGTGGTAGGATTCGTCAAGCCCCTAGCCGGATCTGGAGACGGCGTGTGATCTCCACTTGTGAGCGGAGGCGCAGCGCAGAGGCGGCCGGATCCCTATCAGTTCCTCCACTGCCACATCCGCCTGTGGGATGAATGAGCCGCTACTGCCGGAGTTCTCGATTGGCAGCCATGGATGCTGCGTGACCTCGGTCTCCAGCGTGGGGTGGGCCGTGGGTGGTCGCAGCTACCGGTTGTGGCAAATAGGGGGTGACGCATTCGACCGCACCGGCGCCTTAATGCACCTCGGTCTCCAGCTTCCTCCTCATCATCGGTAAGCTAGCTACCTCTGCGAACCTCATCATCATCTCCTTTGGATAGGTCGATTTGTTCTGTGACAGCTGAAAGATGGCAAGGATACGAGAATCTCATCAGTACATTTCTGCACGCGGAGGAGCACTTTTTGAAGAAGACTAAGTCTAGAGCCATCGATATTGACTCTAGAGACCTGATTGTTGTTCTGTGATTGACTGTTTCTCACCGGTGGATGCTAATAGCACACTATAACACAACATACTTTTGCCGACACTTTCTATTGTAGGCAAAGGGCACCTTTGTCGACAGATAACCTCCCGCAAAAAGTTTTGCCGACAGTTTAGAAACAGTCGCGCTAGAAGTCGTCGGCGAAACTTTTGCCGACAGTTAACAGAATCCCCGACACTTTATGTGTAGGCAAACGGTCTACCTACGCCGACAGTTGAAACCTTTGCCGACAGTTAACCCTTTGCCGACAGTTAAGACCTACGCCGATAGTTAAGACCTTTGCCGACAGTTTGTATGTTGGCCAAACCATTTACAAGATATTTTACAAACCATACCCTGCCCAAAAAAAACTATCGACAAAACTGCATAGATATAATTACAATTAAAATAATTTAACATATCCACTTTTGCTCATATAGAAGGCATCACATTGAACAAATTCACTTGATTTTTGTATAAATAATATATTAGATTTTCCATACATACATCAACTTTATATATATATATATAGCGGACGAGTTTTAACATGCATACAGTTGCCAGCCAAAAGATTACAGAAGCAATCCAGCACCCATCAAAACGATACTAAAAAGACTGAATTCTGACATACATCAAAAACATCCTGAACTTCTAGGGACTGCATCTAAGTGGACACAATCCTCCTCCACCCGCCTCATGAGTCATCACCTCTAAGCTGCGTCTTCATCATGTTCAGTTACATCAGTATCTTGCAGAAGGAGTTGATTCACCTGTCGCGCGGTCTGAGACGCCAAGACTTCTTTCGCCACGCGCAGCATCCTATTGGCACCTTCCACCAACTGGTCCTAATGCATTTCAGTGACCAAAATTTCATTAGCGCATATGCATGGCAGATTATCTCTAAAGGATTTTTGATCAATTTCTTTTCAAAAGATGCTTTGTTCCTACTCTTCCAAATGGCCCAACAGATAGCGCCAACACCCCATGGGTGGAACTTCTTACCAAATGGCAACCACTTCTCACACCAGAACCAGCATTGTTGTAAATTACAAGGAATGTTGTTTGCACCAAAACATTTCGCTACCACCATCCAGATTACTTTGACAATGGAGCACTGAAAGAATAAGTGGTCAACAGTTTCAACACATTCACAGAACACACATGTATAGACATAGAGAATGCAGCCAATTCACGAGCATCAAGGTCTTTAACAAGGATAGGCTCATCAAACTAAATCCATGAGGCACCAGCTGCCTTCAATTCAGAAACAACCTCCCTGTATTTCATAACATATCACATTATCAATTAACGAGGATCATGCTGAAGAAAAAATTGTTGGCTTTTTGTGTGGATGCTTACTTGTAGATGGGAAGAATGCTACCAAGAAGTGAAAGAAGAGAGAAAGATTTCTCCACACCGTTGGCAGGCTTAGAGAGGAGCAAGTATGAGACTAGTCCAACAAGCACCGGGACTGTATCAATGCCGAGCTGCATGAGGTGCAAAATCATAAGTTTGCAGGCATTATTTTCATAAAAGAAAATAGCATGCCCCTTCCTTTACAGGGTGAAAACCACAAACATATAAGAAAAAAAGCACTACAGGGCATCCTATCATATTACCATTATGCAACGTTGAATGAGAAAATAGTTTTGTGGCGGTTATGTATTACTGTCAAGATGGCAAAATCAGTATGCTCCAAGATTGTCCATCTTTGACTTCAAATAAGGTTTGCAAAGACAGTGGGTTAACTTATAGTTTACTTCAATGTTATGGAATGTTATGGAATGTCTTAAGGTTCAGTAGAGCTGAAGTTCTTTTATCAAAAGGAAGCGTGTTCTAAGCAAACAATATTTGTCAAATCATAATCAAATAGCTAGGAGACATAAATATCGGTTGCTACATTTTTTCCTGTTACTAAACCGTGCAGCCACACAAACAAATTATGATGAGAAGGGTAAATGAACTAAATTACAAACAGCTCAGAGTATCTGTTGTTACAGCAACATACCGCTTTTGCCTCCTTGTACTCAGAGACAGCCTTGTGTGAAGCGTATGTGAACTTGGTGCTTGGGCCAAGCTCAGGGACAATAAAGTGGCTGCAAAGAATAAGGTAATAAAAACGTATAGCAATAGAGCATTTAAAAATAACTTAGAACTGCATGGTGTTCTTGATGGAACCCAAGACTGTAGATGGCAACAATATATAAAAATTGGTTCACGGTTCATTCCCAAGGACATAAAACTGGTGCTGCAGGCATCCTCTCCTGATGGCCTTTTGCAGGAATACGAGGACTTCAATTGCTTATCAACAATCGTAATTAACTTCATGGTCTGATACACAAAGGACCTAAAAGAACAACTTCTTGTCATGCACTTTCACCAAAGGACCTAAAAGAACAACTTCATGGTCTGATACACAAAACACATCATAATTATAGAAGTAAATTAAATAAACAAAGGGAGGAAGAGGTTGTCTTATGATCAAGCTAGGCAAGTCAACTTTCTCTGCCTTATTAAGCAGGATCAAAGCAGCCAATCCACAGAACGTATACCTTATGAAAGCAACTTTTGTTAATGTTCTTAACATATAAATTTGGAACTTTATAGAAATCCTCAGAAACATACCCACCACGTGCTTCAGCATAAGGCTCCCCAGCAATACCACCTTCATAAGTTTGACAACTGCAGTCATATAGTATAACAATTGAGCAACATTCTAGAAAAGAACTATGACCAAGCAACAATTTTTGCAACTGAAAAAAATGTATTTATATAACACAAACAAAACCTTGCTATGAAGTCACCAACGCCTTTTGCCAGTTCAACATCAAGAATATTCACAAGGCTGGCAACCTAAGGTCAACATCAGGAAATATCAAGTAACTGCAGAAAAATCGTGAAGGACCACAAGAAACTCACCGATATAGTGGTGTAGGAAGCACGGACATCAATTTCACCACCATCATGCATTCTAGGGCAAAGGAAGAATGAGTAGCAGGCATCACCTCAGAAAGAGCTACAAATGAGAAAGTGGTCTCTATACATTATCCATGCTGATAGGTTGCGTACCTGAAAGCACCTGATACATCTTTCATCCGAAACATAAACTTGTACAGGTTGTCCCTGACCAACAAGGTTAACATTATTAACAAAAGAACTCATGTAAAGCAGATCTTGCTTTAGAGCAACCATGAGATTTACCTATTGATTGATGACAGTGCTCTTTCACTCCCTATTGTCACAAGTGTATTTACGGCAGCATAAGTCGTAGCTAGGTGAGGCAACTGCAAAGAACATGGACAAAAGAATGTCTTAAAAAACTACAATTTACCCTCTTGAATGACTCAACATAAATGAACTCAAACTAACTTTATAAATCAATAACAAACAAGATTTCTGGTTAAAAACTTATGCTAAATGAATGAGAAGGCTAAATCAAGCACCCAATAATGTGCTTTGCTTTCAAAAAAGATAACCTTGAGTATTCAAATCCAAAGCATAGTGCCCATCGTCACTGGCACGTATTTTGTTTGTTACATGGACATGCTAATATCAATTAAAAATGTTACAATTACAACCGGGTGAGCTAAAGAGGGATTCAAATATTTAATGTGAATGCAATAGCAAACATATATGTCCTTAGTGTTTCATTGGACATATCCAAGACTAATGCTTACACTGCATAAATCTAAAATCTTATCTAAAAAAATCAATGCAAATAGCAAAATCAAAGATATTATGCTCAAAAGTGTGGGGCTCAAAAGGTTTTGAGATTGGAGCAACCTGTCCAGGTCCACCACTATATCCACCATCTTTATCCTGACATCGAGCTAAGAAGTCTATGATATCATTCTCAAGATCATCATCAAGTGCTTCATCCAGCAAAGCAAGTGGATGAACCATCCAGTAGCACAGCCAACAGTACGGGAAACAGGGGCTTTGCCGAGTGTTTCCTACTTTGCCGAGTGCCAAATATCGGGCACTCGGCAAAGGTAGACTTTGCCGAGTGCTGCACTCGACAAAGACCAACACTCGGCATATCCATCTTTGCCGAGTGCTAGGCACTCGACAAAGTATAACACTCGGCAAAGCCTCCCTTTGCTAGCCTCCCTTTGCTGAGTGTCGGGCTCTCGGCAAAGCTAAACACTCGGCAAAGGCTAACCGAGGTGACGGCGACCACCCACCGTTAGGCTTTGCCGAATAGTCGCCGTCAGACACTCGGCAACGAATTTTTTAAATTTTTTTAATTTTTTGTTTATTTTGTTTGCCGAGTGCCCTGTCTCTGGCACTCGGCAAAGATTTTTTATTTTTTTTGTTTATTTTCTTTGCCGAGTGCCCTGGCTCTGGCACTCGGCAAAGGTTTTTATTTTTTTTGTTTATTTTCTTTGCCGAGTGCCCTGTCTCTAGCACTCGGCAAAGGTTTTTTTAATTTTTTTATTATTTTCTTTGCCGAGTGCCTGCCTCGGCACTTTCGGCAATACTCTTTGCCGAGTGCCGTGCGGTACTAAACAAATATTTTTTTAATTTTTGCTCCCAGATTTTTTCTTTAGGGTTTATACAGTGCTTTAAAGTACATGTTAAAATTTGGTTGAATTTTGTGACTTTTTACTATATTTTTAGAATTATTTTTGTTTTGCTGATTTATTTCGCAAAAAGCAAGTTTGAACTGCAAGTGCATCGAATAATGAAATCTAATCATTCAAAAAATGATTGTCACGCTAGTGAGTGTGTTTTGAGGCCATATCCAGGAACTTGTGGGATATGTTTCACATCTTGTTAACGAAACATGAGGACAAAGTTGCGGCCAAAGTGTTTTTAAATTGTATAAAATTCAAACGAATTTAGAAAATCACGAAACTTGCGGATGCATCGTTATATAGCATGTGGAGCCTATGCTAAAATTTTGAAAAAGTTTCGTGCATGTTGTCACGTACGGTGCTTAGAAACCAGGACATCTCCACATGTGATCTTACCATAGGCTCCACATGCTATATAACGATGCATCCACAAGTTTCGTGATTTTCTGAATTCGTTTGAATTTTATACAATTTAAAAACACTTTGGCCGCAACTTTGTCCTCATGTTTCGTTAACAAGATGTGAAAAATATCCCGCAAGTTCCTGGATACGGCCTCAAAACACACTCACTAGCGTGGCAATCATTTTTCGAATGATTAGATTTCATTATTCGATGCACTTGCAGTTCAAACTTGCTTGTTGCGAAATAAATCAACAAAACAAAAAATAATTCTAAAACTATAGTAAAAAGTCACAAAATTCAACCAAATTTTAACATGTACTTTAAAGCACTGTATAAACCCTAAAGAAAAAATCTAGGAGCAAAAATAAAAAAAAAATAAATTCTTTGCCGAGTGCCAGACCTGGCACTCGGCCAAGGGGGTCTTTGCCGAGTGCCAGAGACAGGGCACTCGGCAAAGAAAATAAACAAAAAATTAAAAAAAGCCTTTGCCGAGAGATATAGACAGGGCACTCGGCAAAGAAAATAAACAAAAAAAAATCTTTGCCGAGTGCCAAAGAAAGGGCACTCGGCAAAGAAAATAAACAAAAAAAAAATAAAAAAAACTTTGCCGAGTGCCGGCCCGTGGCACTCGGCAAAGGACCTAACATCAAAATGGGCCTCGGCCGGCCCACGTCGGCCAAACCCTCTGCCTTCGCGCCGCCACACTACCGCCACCGCCCGCCTGCCACTGCCAGCCCCCCGCCCCTTGCCCACGCCCGCCCACCCGCTTCATTTGCCCTTGCCCGCTGCCCGCCACCGCCCTCTGACGCCGCCAACGCCACTTGCGCCGCCTTGTAGCTGCATGCCCCATCACATTCGCTGCATCAAGCGCCATACAACGCCTGCTGCCGCCCAGATCGCTGCCCGCCACGCCACGCCTTGCCTCACGCCCACGCAGTATCAAGCCCCTGACCCCCTCCCTGCCGCCGATTTGTGTCGCGCCGCGTCCGGCCCCGCTTCCCGCCGCCACGACCGACGAAGAGAGCCGCACCCGGCCCTGCCGGCCGCTGCCCCGCCGCTCCCCGTCCCGCCACGCCCCACCGAACGACCGACGCAGAAGGAGGAAGAAGGGGGAGAGGAAGGAGAAAGGAGAGGAAGGAGGAAGGAGGAAGGAGGTTGCCTTCCCGTTCCGTTCCCGGCACCATTTTCCCCGTGTTCCCATCTCGTCGACGCCTCTGCTGCCAAGGTATAATGATGTGCCATTGTGATTGTCGGCCTTTGAGCCGTTGTGATTGTTGGCCTTCGAGCCGTTGTGATTGTCGGCCTTCGAGCCGTTGTGATTGTCGGCCTTCGAGACGTTGTGATTGTCGACCTTCGTGCCATTGTTTTTTGTAGGTTTTGGAAACCTCCCCGTGCAGGGGAGGTGCTGCCAAAATTTAGAATTGACCAAAATCTATTTGTTTTTCATGCAGGTGAAGGAACTGTCTGAGCGGAGCCGGAGGGCCTTGGCTACACCGATCGTCTTCCTCGGCGTTGCGGGTCTGCCTGCACCGCGTCGCCTCGCCACTGCACCGACTCGCCACCGCCCCGCTAGCCTGACTCCACCGACACCCTAGGTATAACCCGTCTTCTGTGTACCTTGGTCGTAGATCGCGTAACCAAGTTAGGCGTCTCCCGTCCGAAAGAGATACGGTTGGTGGTATGCATATCTTTGCATATCTACGACCGTATCTTTTTTAGATTGTCCACGTTATTTGGACAGCCCGCCGATGCGTAGATGAGTTTGGTTTCCATGGTCCGCTCCGATCTGAGACATGGTTTCGGCATTACCTCCCCGTTGTTCTCCGGATACACACTCTCCCTGCCAGGACGTGTATCGGGAGAACAACGGGGAGGTGCTGCCGAAATTATGTCTGGGATAGGAGCAGACCATGGTAACTAACCTCATCTACGCATCCGCGGGTGGGATTAGGACCTATCCTCACCTATTAGACAGTATGAAAGTCACGTAGATGTAGTTGATGGTTGCATTACTCGCTGGTATTTTAGAGGATGGATGACCGTCAGTGGATGTACACGGGCTGGAAAAGTCACATGGAGTACACAGATGAATGGTTTCGCAAGACCGAGGCTTCTTTGAACAAGGCATTTGGCAAGGCTTCGTCATCACATCTGCTAGAGCCATGTCCCTGCTCCAAATGTGCAAACAGGAGAAGGATAAACATGGTCAACATGGGTAAACATCTTGTGAAGAATGGATATATGTCGGGCTACACCCGGTGGATCTACCATGGTGAAGCCCATCGTACGAGAGAGGAGGTGGTGAGACCACGCGTCGAAGCTTTTGATGATGATGCCGGTGTACCAGACTTGTTAGATGATGTTCACCAAGCACTTGGCGTTTACGAACGCGAGAAGGAGGAGATGGAGGCAGCCACAAAGGCTTTCTACGAGATGATGAACTCTGCTCAAAAGCCCCTTTATGATCGGTCCTCGGTGTCTGAACTTGACGCCATTGGACGCTTGATGGTGTTGAAGTCCGAGTTAAACATCAGTCAAGACGGCTTCGATAAGATGTTGATCGTGATTGGCACCCTGCTTCCGGAGGGCCACATTCTGCCAAAGAGCATGTACGATTCACAGAAGCTCCTTTGGGCACTTAAGATGCCGTATGAGCAGATACATGCTTGTCCGAAGGGGTGCGTCCTATTCTAGAAAGAACATGTGGACGCAAAGTACTGTCCAAAGTGTGAATCATCTAGGTACCTAGAGACAGACTCTGGTGATGGTCAGAAGAGTTAGACGACAGTCCCAGTGAAGATCGTACGGCGTCTTCCATTCCTATCGAGGATCCAACGGCTATTCATGAACGAGGAATCCGTGAAACAGATGACATGGCACAAAAATGGAAAAAGGTACAGTCCAGAGAAGATGGTGCATCCAGCCGATGGTGAAGCATGGAAACACTTCGATGACATATATCGTGAAAAAGCTGGAGAGGCTCGTAATGTACGTGTTGCGTTGGCAACAGACGGGTTCAATCCTTATGGAATGATGGCTGCCCCATACACATGTTGGCCCATGTTCGTTATCCCCCTCAATCTCCCCCCGGTGTCTCCTTTGAATAACATAACATATTCTTGTCGTTGATAATTCCTGGACACCTGGGGACTAATATGGGTGTGTTCATGGAGCCGGTGATTGATGAATTGATCCATGCTTGGGAGGTAGGGGTATGGACATATGACAGAGCTACAAAGACAAGCTTCAAAATGCACGTTTGGTACCAGTACTCCATGCATGACTTCCTGGCGTATGGGTTATTCGGCGGTTGGTGTGTTCATGGGAAGTTCCCATGCCCAGTATGCAAGGAAGCGTTGAGGTTCATCTGGTTACGGAAGGGTGGCAAGTATTCGTCGTTCGATGCACATCGACAATTCCTCCCTTCTGAGCATCCATTCAGACAAGACATCAAGAACTTTACGAAAGGTGTCGTAGTGACAGACCCTCCACCGCGGATGATGACTGGTGCCGAGGTTCATTCGCAAAATAGATGCTCTAGTGTCCGCTCCAGATGGTGGGTTTGTGGGATATGGTGAGCAACATATGTGGACACATAAGTCAGGCTTGACGAGGCTCCCCTATTTCGATGACCTTCTTCTGCCACATAACATCGATATAATGCACACCGAGAAGAATGTCGCCGAGGCACTTTGGGGAACACTCATGGACACTGAAAAGTCTATGGACAACACTAAGGCTAGAGTGGACCTGGCAACGTTATGTGATAGACCAAAGCAAGAGATGCAGCCTCCTAGAGGCAACAAGACATGGAGGTGGCCTAAGGTCGATTTCGTCTTGACCAGGGATCAGAGGAGGGAAGTACTTCAATGGATCCAAATGCTAATGTTCCCTGATGGGTATGCAGCGAATCTGAGGAGGGG